ACAAGCAGTCTATAATACCTATTAATTAAGAAATGTAAAACATACATGTACCATATTTCTAACATGTTATGGAAACACGAGTCCAAGTTTGGGAGAACGAGACATGCTGTGGGAATTAACACAGGCCAACAGGGGAGTGTTTCCATAGCTTTTTCAAGTCAACAGCTTGTGCTAGTAATAGTTCTGTGTTCCTATTGAGTTATAGAAAGACAAGTATGATTTCCACAGAACATTCGAGCAATAATGGCAAAAATAAAGCTACCAAAAAAATCTCATAGCATGGTAATGTTTTGAATAAAGGTAAGAAGATCTTATTGAGAATTAAGCTCTCAAGCTCACCCCACGAGAGAAAATTGAACTTGAAGTCATCCATATTTCAATAAAAATGGGCGTTTTGTGTTTTTGAAAACACAGTAACACATGCATTAAACACTCTTACGAGGTTTAATATTAAATTTCTCAAGAATGCCTAGGGATTTAACTGCGGGGTCACTTAGAGAACTGAATTACAGTGAGATGTTTGAAATAGTATTCAAAACATTACAGTGCTGTGAGTGATTATTACTAAATAATTTTTGCAGTTATTGCTCGAACATTGAGCGGAATTCATCTTAAACCATTCAACACACATATTTTCTTTGGGCTATTTTCTAATACATTTTATTATTTTCCTGAAGTATCTTAGTGGGCCAGAATCATAAATCCACAAATTTGATTGGCTAATCACTGGCTCGTAGCCAGTCCAACTTCTTGTAATATGGACCACCTTTTTTTTTAATCATAGATTTGGACCTTTTACCTAGTAAATGATACATATTTACTATTTATTCCCAGCTATGCCTTTCTGCAGCACGATTAGTCAAAACATTTTAAGTCATTACAATGCATGTAATCATACAAGTTTAAAATGTCATATTCACAAACACTCACTTTATAGAAACAACTCTGGATAGCAGGTACCTTGCACACTTTTCATTAGGCAAACATACCACCAAATGAGGATTCTACAGGAAACAAG